AAAAAAATACAGCATGCTTACGTGCGTTAGGGAATTATAACTTACTAATCTGTTCTGTGATGAATTGCTTAATTACTCAAGAATAAAGGTTATACCTGATCGGTAAAGTTGTATTTTGCGTTGGAAGCCATATGACAAAGTGTCTGCAATACCCGCACACACAGAGCTTCTTGCTCATGTTGCAAAAGCGATTTGCAGTGTTGTATCAATCTAAAATTTGATTCCAGCAGATTAGCTCTACAGGTTAGCAGAAGTCCAAAGTGATGTGTGAGGAAAGGACAACGATGGATAAAGACAACGATGTTGATAGAAACAATGGATAAAGACCGGGAGTGGTGGATAGGGAAAAAATTGAGCACATCCAGCACATCTGATCTGCCTTTTTTTTTCTATTGTGCGGGGTTGCAGCTCAAAAAGACTAAGATTACAGCATATCTAAGTCCATACGTTGTCCACAAATCTACATGATTTCGAATCAAGGATTCCAAAACAGAGATAACTGATAGGATTAAATAAAAACAGGTCAGTGAATCATGCAACTGCAAATAGCAGTTAATATTGTTTAAAGTACATTCCAGACGTTCACTTATCATACATATACAGAAGTGAAAATGATCAAGAATATATTACTTCACAATGACTACACCATTTTCGCATTCCTGAAATAAAGCAGAACCAGGTGCAAATAATCTCTCGGGAGCATGCAACACATCCACAAGTACCGATGTTTCGGCTGCTTGCAGTGGCAGTGCAAACATTTTGAATTCAGTAACCATCGCCTATAAGTACAGGATTTTCTAAAGAAATTTAAAAGCCCACACTAAAAAACTTTTCCCCTTCTCCCCTTTCAATTCTTTAGTGTAAAGAATAGCACTAAATATTATATAAATGTGGTAAAGATATTGTAGTCTAAATCGATAAAATAACTTCATTTTATCCAATATAATCTGAACAAAATATGATCTGAGTGAAGTAGTAAGTGTACAGAGACAAATTACGAAACACTATTAGGATGTAATCAACTAAACATCTAGGCAACATAACTAGCGGGCCGATTTGACCGATGAATTTACATTACCAGAATCACAAGTTGGCTATGTCTAATGCGTAGTAAATGAAGAGGCATGACTAACCTGATAACATGAAACAACATCACTAAAACTTTCGGTAACTTGTACGTAACGTGGCACGTGCAAACGAGCCTTGGCCCGCTTATTTGCTTGATTGATAAAACGAGCTGAATTAAAAGCCGATTGCCAACGTTGTTTAACAGTTGCTTCGGTATATCCTGGTGGCATATAACCATTAACTGGCAATATAATTCCTCTTTCTTTTGCTGAAACGGAATTGCTGAAATTATGAGGCAGTTGAAACAGCAATTGATTTACGGACGCATCTAGGACTACATCAGAATTTTGAAATTATGAAAATGCAGAACTGTGAGATGTATAAGTGGTCCACATGCCCCTATAAGAACTATATACAGAATGACATTACTTTCGCTAGATGTGAAAACAGAAATGAAAGTAAAATGAAAATGCTTTAGCACAAAATTTATGATAAATGCTAATAATAAGAATAAGCTAACCGCGTCTACCAATTTGTCTAACACATTCTGCAACGTGATACCAATTTTTTGTAAAGCTTTTCCTTACTAATTCTTCTTGCAACTGACAAAGGTTTTGAATTATTCTGGTGAAGGATTGACGGTGTTGCTAAAACTTGGAAAAGTTTTGAAAAAAAGATTTACAGTTCAAACGCAATTTTAGAAAACATCACATGGAAATAATAAAAAAATAAGACGGAGCTTTGCCTATTTAGTTTGCGTAACAACTTTTAACTGAAGATCACCTTAGTCATCAAACTGAAATCGACTAAACTGCTTCACCAAGAATAATCAAATGAAATTAACAGGGATGAAACCAAGAATAATTAGTTTGAAAATCTCAAATGAATATGTAAAAAATATACCGAAATTTCCACTATCAGCTGATGAGGCGAAGGCCTTTCGAACAGTCTTATCAGTACTTCAGTAACTGTGTAACAAACGTACTTCTCAAGTGCTGAATTAGGCAACAAAGTAGGCTTTTCCGTCTTCAGCTAAAAATCCAGTTCTTACTATTTACATGCATTGCATGTAAATAAAACTTTGAAAAGGAAATGGAGATTGACTATAAAGTTCAATCTAAAAGTAACCATCTCTTGAAGCTGTTGATGATTCCAACGTCTTAATTCATATTAACCACAGATATTTTTGGACAGTGGATAATAATGAGATGCTATTATAACTTTAAAAACTTGACACAGGATTTTATTGACATAAATCTTTAACCTCTACATAAAAATGTTGCGGTCGTGTTCAGAAGATCTGAGAGGCTTCAAATCTTTCGATCACGACCATATTACGGGACTTGAATCTTGAACTGTTATTTGTAAATAAAAAATGAATGGGTAAAAAAACCTGCAATAAACTGCCGATATACATTTCTATATCATTAAGAATATTTTTTAGAATTTTTTCGATGAAATCAACATTATCAACATCTTTCATTTCCTCATCCGCATCTATATAACAATGCAGCATAAATTGCAGGTATGCATCCTTCACCTATAATGGTACCAATTTAATTTCAGTCGTCTATGTTTAATTATAAGAATAGCAAAAACGAGTGGAATAATAAAACATTCGTTTTTGAGCCCATATTTAATCTATAAATCTTCCCATACCCAAAAAAATAAAAACGACCCATCTCTTTGAAATACTAAATTCGTTTGGTTAAACTTAGTGCACCGACAGCACAATTTTAACAGGATGAATTCTGCCTGTGTTTAAAATAATCACACAGCAATTTTGTCATACCATATTTTGTGCTTAGATCATGTTGCAGTCAAATAATTACGTGAATGAAATCATCACATGATCTTGTCTACGCCCATCTCTCTCTGTTTGATAGGTTTGCGCTCTTTTTGATATGCGTGTGAGCCCGCAGTTATCTTTGTTATTCAGCATATTCAGTGATCCCTCAACAAATGTCCGATACTCTTCCATATTTCCGTCGGGCTACACAGCCGCAAAGGCATCTCTACTCAATCACAGTGGTCGTCATTCTCAATGGTTAAACTCGACTGGTAAACTCTGAGATATCCTTAATGTCACTGATATTCGATAACAGCTCAACGAGTTATATCTAGGTCGTCCTGCTATCTACTCCTAAGTTTCCACTCCTGCCTAGTTGATGAATTCCTTGCCATGGATACCCTTCAGCCATCAGTTTTGAGCTAGTAGACAGAGTTTAGGACAAAAGCTCAAAACTGTGAAAAAATTGACGAAATAGTAAGTGAGAACAAACCTGTATTAAACAGTAAGGTAACGTCAAAACACGCACTATATGATCCATGGAGAGCTGGGAAGCGCACTTCAATTCCGTCGTGCTGTTTCTTCCACGCGTGCACAAAGCGAGAAGCCTGGAGCATCAATATCAAAACATGAAGCATATGATTAACAGCAAAATGCTTCTATCCTTACTTTTTTGTGTGGCAGACAATGACAATGATGAAGTGGTGGAGCTGTGAGTTATATAAAATGATATACGTACCGTACCAGATCGATGTGATAACGTAATGGATGATCAGCATTTAGCTCTTCGGGGCCTGTGTTTTGCATCAGCTGCTTTAACTGCTCAAAACTTGCACTGTCTGCATAATATACTCGTACATCATCAGAAGATGAACAGATCTGAAATGAAAACATTCGCCGACCTCGATCTTCGATGCTATGACTACCACCATACACGGAACTTATAATCGATGTAAAAAGTTGATTTAAAGGGGAACAAAAAGGGTTAGTATATGACCAATGTCGCGCATATAATACTAAATGGTATTCGCCTATACTTAACAAATAACAAAACTAGAGAATTCCTGAAAGTTACTTCTTGCGCTACTTTTTCTTGTGCTGACTTGATTTCTTTTTCTTGTACCACGACAACAGTTTGTAAGAATTCTATATAGACGGCGCTGTGGGCTTTATGTTCAATCATATTTACAATGTGAGCAATAACTTCTTCGGATATATTTTGACACAACACACGATTGTTTTTGAAAATCGCTGTCAACGTTGCAACTTCCTCCAACTGAAGATTGTGAGATTCATGAAAAATTTACTATTTGGTAAGGCTAATATAATTTGAATTGTCAAGCAATTCTTAATTTACATTTTAATACCCCGTGGAGTATGTTTTATAGCTACTATGTATGATGAAATGTGCCATTTACCTTCCCGCCAGATACTTCGGAAGAACTTTTTAGAATCCCATCGCTGGAGCTGTAGAAATTAGTTGAACAATTTCCCACATATATTTCTCCATTACTACGTTTTTTATCCGTGGCGAGAATTACACCAATCATCAAAACAATTCCCACCAAAATCAGTGGAGCCTATCAATAAATCAGACGAACCAAAACAATGTCTTACCGTATTCACCATCAAGCATCCTTCTTTCACATCTTGTTCGATAGAAACATGTTTGTACAAACGAAGCTGATTCTCAATATTATTGCGACAAAAACTTCGCAGGAATTCATGACTCAATGTGACAAGTTTTGGCATTTCTGTATCATTCTTCTACAATCACAATAACATCAAATTTTACAGTGAATGCTAAACAAACTAAACAAACGTTTTTTTTTTTTCAACTCCTGCGGAAAGATTGTTTTTAACATTTGATGGTGATGCAATTAAATTTTCCTTATTAGTTTGATAAAAAATTTTTAGAAACTAACTTCGTCATATGGAACAGATAAAAATCTGAGGATATATTCGTGCACACGCATATTCCGCAGTAGCTGCTGATTCATCTTATCCGGCTTGTCATTTTTGTAACAGAGTTGTTTTATACGATACAGAATCTAAGTTCTATACGCTTAACATTTTTTCTAAATTATATTGTGCAGTCTACCAGAAATGTATGGAGAATGAATTAGATACATCAGGAAGACATTAAATCATTTCCATACTACTGTCAATCTTTCAGTACAATCAACTCCATCAAACTTTTCGTCTCAATTGAATTTTTAATATTTCCCGAAATTTCCACTATTTAACATACTACGTGGAACTTACCTGTCTTATTAGAGGGTAGCCAACAAGCGGTGCACGATCAAACAGTTCATATAAAGCCGAAGCTGCTTCCGCTCGATCATCACCAAGAAGGAGCTAAAAGTAATGATCTCAGGCTCCTTTTAAGTTATATCTTTTTCTAATCAAAATTCAAACTCAGTTCATTAAACAAACAAACAGAGATAGTAGAGAGTGTATGCTTATATTTTCAAACTTTTTTCCAATTTTTAATAAACATGTTATAAATATTTATACTACGTGCACTCAAAAAAAAAGAAAGAATTTCAATTTAACTTTTAAAGTACATGAAACATAACATTTTCCCACTCCAGCAGAAAATATAAATAGAACAGTAGTACTTTAAAACTGAAGTCCAATTACTGCATTACATCTACAAAATTTCAACAGGGATGTATGGATTATCAAAAATCTAAGTGCATTAAAACATATTTTTATCACTGCCTTTCCTAAATTATATCTAAGTGTTCTTTCTCGTACCCCAGTGCAGCGTTTTGACAGTAAAAATGCGACTCCATTGAGCTTAGGTAGGGATTTTAAAACAAACCTGTGAAATTTTCTATCAAAACATCTCGTCGAGTCGACCACGCCGAACTATCAATGAGTGCTTTCTCCTTTTTTTATTTAAAACAAATAAAAAAAGAAAAAGAAAAATGGGAAGAACACTTATCGGTAATATTCCCATAGGTTCATTAAAATGTCCGAATTATTGAATTAGAGATAGTGCAAAGAAAATATATTCAAGTTTACCTTGCATAATAACTTAACACACTCGTCCCTAGCTAAATAATAATGTTGTTCAATCTTCTCCACCACTGAATGAAAGCTCTCATCGTTGTAGAAAGCACAAGAGGCGTTTAAACCACTATCTTCCAACTGTTGACTGGTAGTTCGCCTGCAAATTATATCAAAACATATTCTTTTTTGGTGATGGAATAAATGATTTAATTTTTTTATTGGGTTTTCTGAACTACTTGAAATCATTCCTTAGCAAAGTAGAAGCAAACGAACATCGAAAAAGATGGTTTTGACGAATCATCAAGACTTGAACTACGTTCATCGAAACTATGATTAGTACTACTTTCAGATCGCATTTTATCAGCTTGTATCCAAAGCTCGCTTTTTTCCGTAAGTATTTTCAAAATGAACAAATCGCGATCAATCTGCTGATAATTTTCCACATCACTGTTTGAAACTAGCAACTGGACCTGAAAAAATCACCTTAATTAACGGCACATATTAGCGCATTATGTCAGTATTACCTCAGAGTATTCATACACCTTTAAATTCGAGAATTCAGGAACAGAATCTTTATTTCTGCCTTTTTCCCTATAGTAGTTCTGTCTCCCAGCAGAAGAGAATCAGGATAAACGACATGATTCTGCAGCGATTTTGTTCTGCTTAGCATTCTGCTGTTGTTACTAATACAAAAAGATAATGTTCTAACAATATGCATGACAGAATGCGATGTGTAATTCCTATCAGGAATTACATTTATTTCGACGTAGGATTTAATAATTTAACTTTCTTTACCCAACGAAGGTCAATACCATCCCGAATAGCAATTAAATAATACATCGCACTTTTTTTGAACCCTTCCAGAAAATTCATTTAAAACCCTCTCAGGGATTCTGGCTTGAATTGTACGAAAACAATGGCACTACACTGTTAGATAACTACTTTTCTAAGAACAGCAGCTACCTAACAAAAATATAAACAAAAAAAAGTTATTTTGCCCTAGCAAGTTTCCTTCTTAACACGAATGATTTAAAATTGTTATCATTCAGCAATATAACAATAAACATGCTATCAGTATGAGAGTAATTAGAAGCTAAAAATAAATTTGTAAGAGATTTAATGATATCTTCCCATCTATAAAACTGATTACAATCAAAACTAGAATAGGTAATATCTTGCTTGAAGTAACAGCCTACCTGTTTGAGATCTTCCACAAACTCCTGGTATTGTGTGAAATGGCGGAACACTACACTAAGAGCTGTACTAGTTAGCTTTGAAAAGTCACTTATTGTCATTTGTAGAAGTATTCTTAGGAGAAGTTGACCATTCCTACCATCAAAATCAAGTTGCTCTTCACAATCTTGAAATACTTCTTTATATAATTGTGATGCCTCGTACTCTGACAAATCTGAAATTTCACAAATAAATACATTCAAGCTGTGGTGAAAATTATTTCCGAATTAAAAAAAAGTCAGCATTATTTCATGACAATTTCCTTAGAAAAACAATACACAAAGAGGATGTTGCACTGTTTTTTTTGGAGAACAAAAGTTATAATAAGTTTAGTCCAGATTAATTTAGTACACCCAGATAATCATTCAACAAATTGCGTTCTTTGGTTAAATCATGACTGTGAACCGGATCGTACATAAAGCTTATTTATTCTTCGTTTAGTTTTTTCTCTCACGATTCTTATTCGGTTATACAGCCACTCTTGTCGTAATTATTTCTTCAATTTTTGTTGGATAACTGATCTGTTCGAGTTCATGGATTATCTGGTGGAATAAACTAAAACGTTGCTTACATCTATCCCAAATCTCTTTTCATTCCAAAATACAAACCCTAACAAATACAAATAATCTGTAAAACTAAATCCTTTTGAGGATCGTTTCAAATATGTAATGAAAATCATAAAGCATGAAAATGAATTGCCTGCTTTGGAAAGAAGTTCTCCAAGTTCGTCACATGGAAAATGTTTTTTAAACCAACATAGCGCAACTGTTATACGATAGTCTCGACGTACATCCATGATGAACTAAAAGCATATGAACATTCAAGCAATGCAGATAGGCAAGTTATTTCCGCAAGATACTATTAACTGACGAATTACTGAGGACTTACATTTAAAATTTCAACGATTATAAGTTTCGTTTGTAAAATCATTTGTTTGCTTTCTTTAGCTTGAAGAGTATCTTCGGTACACGTAGACTCTGTCTGCATGTGCGGAAGATATTGTTTGACTCCTTTCTGCAGTGCATTCGCGCCAATTACTGAGTATGTCACATGACGAAACAAACCCGTCTTGTTAAACGCCATTTTCTCTGGAACATAAACACTGCAAGGTCTGTATCTTAACTTTTTTCAAAGGCCTCATATACATCGATGTGAAGTGAAACGTTGCAATGAACAGTATAGGAGGTCACAAACACTTCGATGGCAATTTCATTTTTCTACTTGGGTAGACATACTCATTGCTTTGATGTACGGTAAAGTGGCCGAAACTTTTCCGATGCTTTTGATTCGTTTTCATTTGATCGTTGATTCTAAGTGTGATTAATGAAACATCTATATGGGAAAATAATCAAAAATAGATTACGGGTTAAGGGAACGAAGGAGAGAATTGCAACTATATAGTGACATTTTTTTTTAGAAATTCCATAAAAATTTGGAAGTCTTTATAAGAGAAAAAAAGCTTCCTTGGATTACAAAAAACAAAGTCAAAATGGCAACAAGTTATTTTACGAAATCCCATCGTCAATCAGTCCGAGAATAACTGCAACAGATTTCGGATTCCACAATATTTCCTTATATTTTACCTGCTATCTTAAAGTACCTTCAGGTTTTTTTGGACTGCTATCGGCAATAGCTAACAAATTTTGAGCAAGACGAAGCAAATCTGCAAAACTGTAGAAACCGAAATGAGCTAAAGCTCGCGCAAGTGTTACGATCTGAAAATGATTAAATTAATAGCATCCATTATCACAGCGAACATTTAAATGTTTTTTGGAGAACATTTAGAAGATTACAGGTGCTACCTCGTAAGTTAATCGATTTTGCTTTAGTTTTGATGCACTTGGGTCTAAGACAGGTTCACCTTCTCGTGTCGCTTTGCGTAATTCCTCAAGATACACGTCGACAGTTTCTAACACTTTATCAAAAACTTCCCCTCCAGTACGTACGTGACAACCATCAATGTAACCATTTACAGATCGACCTGAGTTCCTGTAAAGCACTCAGTTGCAAGGCCAATCATTAATAAGATTCTTACACAATAAGTACTACACAAAAAAGCTTTTACTGATTTTGCAACATGTTATTAAAGCCTTCTTATAGAACTTTTTACGAAAACTTCATTTTTCTCGTGAAATCCAGATAATTTTCCAAGTATTGTCGGAAGTACCCGGAAACTTCGACATGTAGTGGAATCTCACACCATAAACGAGCATGATGTACGGCATTAAGTGGAGAACCACGTATGACATGCAAATGAAGCATGAGACGTGTGAATGAAGCACGCAAATCCTGCGGTAATCTCGTGTCCGAAATGCATCTAGAATTTCAAATTCTAAATACGAACTGAAATTAAAAGGAAGTCTGAAAAAACATGTGTAATTCAGTAAGTCTTTGCCTCATTTTTTTCATCACGTAAAAGAAGAGAATTTTTGTATCCATACTTCAAAAAAAAAACAGAAAAAAATGCAAACCTAAGGACCAAATCAGCTGGTAATTCTAAACTCAAATTTAGAAGACCTCTTTCGGGAGGCGGATCAATTGCGAGATATTGTTGGTCCTGACACATTTGTGCTAGAAGATCTAACTGGTGTCTAAAAAGACTGTTTTCAAAACGTTTGTCAATATAGTAGTACCTGAGCTCATTAAAAAATTTTGGCAGCACTTCTTTTTTCCTCCCTAAAGCTTGAAAAGATTGTAAAATATTTGTTATAATACTATAATTAAGCCATACAGAACAATTTACTAGTAAATATTTTGAAAAATATATACTTGTAATAATCAAGCATTTCAGTATCTTCAGTTTGACCATTAGCAGCATCCATTGCCACAGACACCAACTGTTTGCAATAGGAATTCGACCAGCAAATCCATATTTCGTTGCAGCTCTAGAATTTTCTCAATGGATAGAATATGCATGATTTTTCCTTTAAAGGGAATAAAGAATACTAACTCGTAAAATTATTAACAGGATATCAAAGCAGTAAGACACCCAAAACACCCGGGAAGTCGATTTTTCTATGCATTTGTGTAACGTTATTCTAAGTGAAGTTGACTTAAGTACATTAAGCTTATAGGTCTTTAACGTAAGATTTCTCCACAAGTTTATTTTGTAAACACTAGATTGCTATCTATGAAAACATCATGATTTATATCTGACTTTGTTACAAATGATTGTGCTAATAAAGATGTCGCGATTTAATTCGTTTAACACACAACTGCAGATCAATTCTTGAATCTTTTTATTGGCTTCACCACGACAAACACAAAGATCCGCCAGATAATCCAAGAACCTAAACAGATGAGTTTAGCCACCAACAATTCAAGAAACAATTACGTTGACAATAGATGTGTTAACCAAATATAAGTTGTAATAAGTTGTGAGAGGGAGAAGTTAAAAGAAGGATCAGGTTTGTGCGAGAGAGTTTGTGTACCACCTGACAGTTACAAGTTAACTAGTAAATACAAATTATAAGTTAACTGGTAAATGCAATCTGTTGAATGGCTATATAATTAAGCCGAATTAGACTTAAACTTGTCATAAATTTCAGAAAAACGGCGCAACGTACCTACCAGCTTTGTTTTTGCGAACGAGTTCCACAAAACGTTCTACATGTGGATTTTTAACATATTTTTCTAACAGTTTCGGATTATTGTGAAGAACAGCAGTCATTGTATCTTCTGCAAGCAAATCAAATCCAATTTGCTCCTGTATTTGACCAAAATTTTCTGCCAGATATTCTTGATTTTTCCGGTAACCTACCTGTGAATACCTAAAATTAAGGGACAGTTTGAGATAGCGCATATTCCACACTGTTTGTGTTCTGACATACTTAAATATGTGTACATGTAAAGAGTAATATCTAGGTATCCATGGTCACGTCAATACATGTGATTAACACATGAACCAACGAAATATGATTCTAGCGAATCGTTCGGATCTTTTTAGCTTCAATTATGTCCTGTTATCTGAAGCGAACAATCTAAATAAGACTGTTCAAAATACAGTCCTTCAAGTCAGATGAGTCTGAGAAGTATATATTAGAAGTAGCAATCGTGGTGTTATTGTTCCAAGTAAAGAACATTCTAATGCAAAAATTTTATAAATTCCAGTTCAGCAGGGTGACGTATATGAAGACCATACAGCTACTCACTGCTTTCCGTTTATAGAGATAGAAACAAGAAACACTTTCACGACATGATTCTTTTGAAGCATCACATTTCACTACTATATAAAATTTTTTGAAAGGTGAAAAATGCTAATACCTAAGCAACGAATAACAAAGCTGAAAAATTCGTTTGAAGATCTCGTTTCCCTTTTCATTCAGGTTACGTGGTGAACACAGCAAAGGTTTTGGGTCATTCCTATTTCGAGGCAAAAATGGTACTCGTAACAATGCAAAAACCTGAAATATATTGTTTATTGAACAAGTGAAGTTGGTTGAACTGCAATTTGAAAGGATGTACTTCCAAATAATTCAAATGGCTTTTGTGTTATTGTACATTAGATTCAAATAGTTCTCCAGAGAGGGATACACTAATTTGGGTGAAAGTATATGACTTATGCTACCCAGCTAAAGCAAAACAATTCATATCAGCAACAATCTAACCACAGTTTGCATCAACGGCTGAATGAGATGGCCTTGATGCTTGCATTAGTAAACTATTACAACAGGCCGATCATATATATCATATATGTCTGATTTGGAGTCTGATATATCATTGCATTCGCTAGAGGCGTACTGAATGAATAACCAGAATTTAAAAAAATCTGGCATTTTGATTTATCTTTGTTGTTAATATTTTGAACTTTTTATGGTCCAAAAGAAAACCGTATTTCATTTCTATAAGCAAAGTAAATTATGGTACTTGTAGGTGCATCGATTCTAAAGCACCAACGTGCCATATGAAGCAGTTCTAAATTTCATTTCCAGCAAAAGTTTCCAAAATATACGTTGAAGAAAACACTGAATGTTTTCGTATACTGAAGACCGGATATAAAATATTACCTGGTCAAGAACACCTTGTTCTCGAAGCAATTTTTGTCGATCTCTTGGTGGTTTGAAATCTACAATTCTGATCGGATCCGTCATATGATTAGGCTGATTTGTTACGAAATATATACATTCCGTTAATAACTGTATCGTTACACTGTAAACAATGCTAAGCGATGAAAACGGATATAAAGTATTATCTGGTCATGGACATCCTGTTCTCAAAGCAATAAAACAAATTGAAGGATTATCAGGCTATTTCTACACTTGCAGTAATTCTTGACCTGGAAAAAATTTCCGCTTCTAAGGATATTTGTAAATGATTGGTGCTATGCTGATTCACAGCAAGAAATCTTAGAAATTACTTCATTGGTTCTTTAGAGATGATCTTCCCACTTTCAATCAGTTTGACGAAACCATGCAATGCTTTGCACGCGTCATTCGCAAAATCCAAATCGCGAACTTCATCTGGACGGACAGGAAGCAGCGCAAATGTTTCTTTATCGATTTTGAAATTTTCACTAACTATTTTAACCCAGCCTTTCTCATTCTTGCTGAAATCATTGACTGAATGTAGTAATAAAAGTCAAGAGAGTACCAGTGTATGCAAAATTTCGTGTATAGCTTATTTTGAAAAAAATCTCTATTTAACAAGAAAAAGTTTTCTGACCTGAAGTGATACAAGTTTTGTTTTTCGGTAGGATTAGTAGTATGAATCCAAGTGTTCGTACACACGTGCCATAGGCGCACATAGGTTCGTTGTGAGATTCTGGCATCCATCTGTTGAAAAACAAATCACTTATGTAATTTCCGAAAATAATTTGAATTTGAATATGAAGTAATCCCTGGTGCCAAACATTTTAACCTTTTTTCCAGTCCCCATAGAAAAAGATAATGGGAATTTGTCTGAAACAGATCAAAAAATACGGCCATCATAATTACAGTATTGAATATAGAGGGTTTATAGTACTGAAATTCATCCATCTGCTCAAGATTTGACTAAATTCCTATTGTTAATAAGTCATCTTATCCTCACTCTGATTATACTAGATTTAAACGCTTACCGAACAAGTGAAAGATTATACAATGATTCCTATGTCAAAATGATCTAAAGGTGGTCCATCTTACCTTTGTAAAGATACAAGGATCCAGTACAAATAGCAAAGATTCATCAGTTTCTGGTCTTTCTGAATGCTTTGGCACCAAATAATACTGCTCTTCGTCACGATATTCTGTTTCCATATTTGCTTAACGACATTTTTATATGACTTTTGGTAAATCACTTAATATTTTTCTTGAAAAGATCTGAAAACTGAAATTAGCTAAAATAATTACCATCTTTTTAATGATATATTTGCTAAATACCTTACCTATATTACCACTGATAAAGTGAAGGAAAAAAGGAAAGAAAAAACAAAAAAAGTGATGAAGACTAAGCATGGATCGAGTAAAATGTGAAATAAAAGACAGTATTTTCATCAAATGATTGCCATGTCGATGATAATGAAAGAAGAAATGAAAAAACAAAATAAATATTCTGGAAATGTTCAGCAACAAAAGTTAAAAAACAATTCATCGTCGCACATATTCCCTTCTGGATACGAAATGATTTGACTTTCGTAAGTTACTTAATATTATACCAGGAGGAGATTGTATTGCTTCAGTTGATGCATTTTCTGCCTTGTTGAGTTGCATTCGTTCTACACTTAGGTACATATCAGTGGCTAAATGTTTGAAGCGAAATTCTTTGAGCCAAGATGCAGCTGCACCACGATATGAATCGATTTGTACAACCTGAAAGAAATAGTTCATTCGCAGAGTAACACGAATATAGAATCAAAAAAGAAAAAAAAAGAAAAAAAAAGGAAAGAAAAAACATGCTATTCAATCAGTGTGAATTATAAACCCGATGGTAACCTGAATTTCCCATAAAGCTCGTGAAGAAGTTGCATCAGCGGCAGATGGGCGATTTGTTAAACGCAAAAATACAGCATCCTTATTTGTGTTTGGTATTGTGTCTAAAGTTAGGAATGTTTGCTGCTCAGCATGGAAAAGTCGCACGACGTCTCCCTGTGGAATATTATTGCTTCAGCACTTCTGTATAATTACCGTTCAAAGTTGTATTTGTATGATTTATAAGTTTTGCAAGAACTCAAATATTACATGAGCAAATCTCAATTCTTCCGAATCTGTAATTGAGTGCAGGAAAAATTTCCGAATTTAACAATTTTAGATAGTAAAACCTACAGATTTTACGATATTTGCTTGATTCTCGTCAAACTGTAAGAACATCAAAACTTGCCATTCGGTAAGTTCATTTGAGCAATTTACTTCGAACCCAACTGGATGATCAGGCAAACTAAAAAAAGAATTGGAATAAAAGAATTCACATCACAAAATTTACAAAGATATAAGATTTTGAAAACTGTATTTCAAATTTAACAATGAGAGCTTTCACGTTAAATGCAAAGATTCATTGAAATAACACAAGGAATAGTAGAAATATTCAATATACAATTACATTACATTTTGAGGGTGACATCTGAAGACTGCCCATGAGAAAATATGGGGAAGTAACATAATATTAAAAGTAAACCGATTTAGAGGAAGAAAGATGGATTGAAAACTTCGGAATTTTGCAGGAATGTCAGAAATGATAACTTTATCGTTATGTAATGAATGTCTATGATCAATCTGATGACTGTGGAAGTCAACAAGGAAATATCAACCTATGGATATATAACTGTTGTAAAAATTTGCAAAAGATATGGAAACAGTAATTGTTAAACATGTATCCCTAGCAAAAACCCATTAAATCTTTTTGCTTGAGCAATCAGAATAACGAGATGTTTCTATCTGTGAAAAACACCATTACCTTAAATGTGATAAGTGCAGTTGAGGTTTAATATGTCCTGTTGTATTCGAAGTAGCATAGTATGAATATGGCACCAAGCTAATTCTATCCCCACCATTCACCTAAAATAAAGTCACAACAAATTTACTCAAAATTACGACTCCTTTTGTTCAAATCCTTTACAATTAAAATTTTTGCTCATATATGGATAAAAAAAAAAAACGAAATTAGTCCTTAGGAATCAAACGGTTCAAGAAAAGTATTGAAAACAAACATTATCACCAAGGAAGGAATGTTTATATACAGGTTCAACATGAAACCATGAGCCTTCATTGCCATTTTTATCCAAGTATACTTTCATCGCATTGCGTTCTAATTTGGCCGGTGAATTTTTCAATACTGTTAGATATTTATCTGATTTAACATGCAACAACTGCAAAACGGATATTAGTGGAATCAAAAATAAAAAGAAAACAGACATTTGAATTGTAAATACAGATTCGTGATCGAGTTAGAACTCACACAACACATTGATTATGTACAAAAATTTTTAATTAGAGCAATGAGATCATTCCTCACTATCGAATGTCATAGTTCAGTGAAGAATGATTAGTCTGAATTTTTAAGCTTAATTTCACAATTCAGTAATTTCTCTTAACTACTACAGCAACACTTAAGCAATGGAGGAGCTAGTTAAAAAATTTACTCGAAAAAATTGAATGAAAAATACTGAAAATGAATCAGTTGGGTATGATGTAAAGAATTCAAAATTTCGGCAACAAAAACATTTCATACATAACGGAAAATATGAAAAAAAAAATGAAGATTTCAGGTAATAGAATACCTGTATAGTACCACCGTATTGGACATTTACGCCAAGCATTTTTTTATATTCCATATCGTTTTGTTCTTTTTCTTTATCTGCAGCATGCTTTAACTTTTTTAACATATCTTCTTCAAAAAGTGATTCACCAACTTGAAATTTTTTTTGTTCCGTCCAAAAATGCTTTTGCGCTGCATATCGATTAATCGGGCAAACTCGAAACAAACAATCTAAAAATGTGACTTTTGAGCGGTGAGTAATCCACTTCAAAACTTGAGAATATTTCAATATAGGAGTTTCAGAATTCAAACTTGAATCACTTTTGAATGTATTACATATGTTTGATACATTTGTCTGATGTGGCTTCTTTCCTAAGCCATCAGTGTGAGTGTAGGAAAAATTTTCCAGAAAATCGTAGCACATAATAACACTGTGATATGTGAAATGAATCATGGCACATGAAAGTGTATTATTTTTAACCAAGAAATAGTCTTTGAAGTTGATAGAATTTCTAATACAATTATGAGGAATGAAAAATCTAATCCGAAATCAGTTGTTTTAGAAATTATTTTAGGGCATTATTTACTAAGACATTCTATATGCGATTTAATTAAGCATTTAATAGGATTTAACCATTTAATAAGATTTAATTGATCCTAAAATACCTCGGAATTTCTTTGGCGGTGAATCAGGAGTACCATTACCAATCTCCACAATACATCTATCATCAACAAGACTGTAAGCTAATTCATGAAATTAATTGAATTGGAAAAAAAAAGAAAAAGAAAAAACGAAAAAGAATCAAATCTTCCATAAATAGTAAGATTGGCGGTACGGCAAATGCGGTATAGCACGTATTTGATGCCACTGTCAAACAAAACTGTTCAATCCATACTTACAAGTTAGGAGGTCACTATGGCTGTAAGGAAAACTTTCCTTAATTTTGGACCAGTAATTTGATTCATCAGTAATTTTGGCACGATTTTAGAATTTATCATTTTGGGAACAGATGCAGTTACACTTAGTTTTAAATGCCTCTTCAAAATAGATATATCTTCCCTTTTATTTTACTCTGGCGTCATAAGTGTACTTATGATGGAAATAATAAATATATGATAAGTGTACCCAAGTGTCGATAAAAATCCAGTTCTGGGAGATAAACGTTCCTCGGAACGATCCTCCACTGATCGGCAATGGTCTTCCGCATACAATGATATCACGTCACCAATATGAAGAGTATTATGGAAGGTATCGATACTCATCGCTATCGATAATTTGTTGTTATATAAGCGATGTTGGTTTCGCAGCATCTTAATAGGCTGTGACTACGCGTTATGCTTGCCTGAAGTAAACTGGTAAACTAGTTGTAGGTCGGATTCGCAATTTATTCAAATTTTAATTAATTTTGAATTCAACTCTCCAATAATATTTCCTAGCAGTTATATAATAAGAAAAGTAACATTAAAATAATCAAAAAGACACCCTAACCGTAGATGGATTAAAGAGAACAATTTCCCCTTCACAAGAGATCTATGAAAGAGAGAACAATTTTTCACAAAAGGCTATCAAGAGATCTGATAGTCTTACTGCAATGACTTATTTTCTCTTCATTTAGTCCTATATTACTACTTCGGCTTCAAATAATCGACCCCTGTTCGCATAAAATAACACAGATGATTGTAACAGATCGTGAATTCATTTGTTGGAATTTTTACGTTTCATGTAAAATTTATCCGTAAAAGAACCTTACTGTAACAGTGCTGTAACTCTGGCATAGATAGATTCATTCAATCAGTCATTTCTCGGATATTTGATCGCTTTTAATTAATTTCGACTAAAGAAATTATCCCCCCTTTTTCTTTAATAAAAGAAATCGTTCCAATTTCTTTAATAAACTAAATAGACAAAGATTTGAAGTTTCTTGTTTTGAAAAGCCGAAATAATTTTACCAAAGAAAAGTTTTGTCTGTTTAATTTACTAAAGAAATTGGGGGAGGGGAGGGACTAAAGAATTGTTTCCCCTTTTCATTGCATAGCAGATCGTAAATTCAAGGAACTGTATTTCATCGGTATCGAATAATCACAAACATTTTCAAAAATAACAACCGACATTCAGTCAGATATTTGTTTCAGAGTGGGATGGATGGACATACACATGATCTGTACAAATCGAGCTACAAAAAATATATTTAAAAAAAGTTTCAATGAAGTCAGTTTGCACAAAACTGGTTCCCTTCAGCCCATTGAAAGAGTAATCAAAATTATATGTATTCTATGACGCATTTATGCACAAAACCAATTTAATCCTCTTTGTCACAATTATTTTTCCCCAGTCACTATCAACCACTAATCAGTAAAACCTATCATATGAAAATAAAGTTTGAAAACTGACATAAATTATAGCCAACAATTCTTACAATTCAGTTCTATTTTTTTTTTTTTTGAACATTTTTATAATTTAGTTCTATGCAAAAATAATTCGAAGTAATACAATCTCACAAAAATTATTTCTGCATGAATGTTATATTTCCTTCCTACGAAGTACTACTATCCTCCAAATGCTAAT